GGCAAAGGGAGGAAACTAAAACAATTATGTTGATGACGATCAACAGCAATACGTGGAGCAATTCACATGAGTCAAGGAATACCCTGAATTCAGATGATCTGGAGAAGATGTTCATCACACATCAAGGACAATGTGACCTTCTCTACAGAATTTGAGAGATCCTTCAAAATTGCACTCTGGTATTTACGCTTAGTGTGTTTATGAGCCTAATATATAGAGCTGGTGTGGGTTTGTTATGTTATAATCTCAGACTTTTCATTATCTGGACTATGCAAAGCACAGGATGCAGAACGTGACCAAGGATCTAAGCATTCACTTTACCATTCACTTTATTGCCAGCAGTTTCTTAAAACAACTATCCCATATAACAGATCACACAGTCAGATTTAGTGGCTTAGAAGCATTTAAAATGTTTTGATAATTACCACAGTATTGAATATGCCAGCCAGGCTCTAAATCACTAGTCAATGTACACAAGTCCCATTCATGAGCACCTAATATTTTTTGATTTGCTGCAGCAAAGCCTGCAACCAGTACCATAAAGTGTTTTTTTTAGCTTTCGATAGAGTGGGGATTAGAGCAACTGTAATGTTTTATTGCTGTCTGTGCTCCCTTTAGGGAGATTCACCATCTCTAATTGTCCTGTTTGCCATTATCATCAAAACTAAAGTAAAAAATGACAAAATTTTGGATTGACATCAGAACAGGAATAAAGTGGAAATCTTCCAATAGAGACCTTGGTGCTACCAGGATATGGGACAAGAAGTGAAAGGGAGTCTCCACAATAGGACAAAAAGGCTGACAGGGTTTATATCCCTCTCTTACTCTATGCAAAATGAAATGAAAAAATGCGTTTAGTGACACTTTAATCTCTTCACAGTTAAATGAGTCTGAGATGAACTTCTCTAATCAAAGGTTGTGGGTGGAATGGATTTTGTTTTAAATTAATATGTGTCGTAAGTAATGGCTGTATAATATTTTATTCTTTCTGTAACACTTTTTTTTTCTTCCAAATAGCTAACTCAAAATGAAAATACAGATGCTGGTACAGTGAGTAGCTTTCCACATGACTTATTCATGGTTATTAAAAGACATACATCATGTGAAACATACTGGTATACTGGGTGTCACAACAGTGTGAACCGAGCGTAAGAGAAGAGTAAGAGTCCCACAAGCCATAGGCTCATTTCCTATGCTGACTTCCCAATTCGTCAATCCTTCTCAAAATACATTTCTGTGGGAAGTAGTCCATGGAAAAAATCACTTTTGCTACAAAGAAAAGGAGAATGATTGTTTTCATGGTATTATATACTCTATATTGCAACGAAAAGCTGCTGCCTATGGTATATCCTTAATGATATTAGTTTTGTTTTTTTGTTTTTTAATCTTAGAAACGTATCCAATAAGATGGCCTCTTAAATATGATTTAATGGAGCCTCACAATACAGCAGAGGTTGTTGTGGAATCATAAATGGACAGGAACTCCCTCATCAGTGCAATAATGTCCTCATTATCAGTGTTAACGTTTAACAAATAAGGGTTAATTCTACAGAGGCTGAGGGAGCATAGCTTCAATTTGATGATAAACGGGAAATGACCTGACAAGTCTCTGACAGCATAATATGCATTGCTTACATACGATAAAATAGTCTCATTACCCAGGGCCAATCCTGAAAAATGATATATGGGTGCTGCATGAGAAGCATGAGTACTGTAGGTCTGAAGGGTTCAATCACCATACATCAAAGATGCCTATTTCCAGAACATATCGAGTGAAAGAAGTCTTCAGAAGCCAAGGAAATCCCCAACATGGCATATTTTATCCAAATTAGGATCTAAATAGGAGCTATAGTCCCCCATGACTAACAATGGAAAAATTGGTTTATCTGCTAAAAAGTGTATTAGCTACTTGAGTGCCTGGTGTGACTACATTATCTATAGTAAAAATATACAAAAACATATCATCCTAAGCAGTCCATTCAAACCTGTCTGCTGGAAAATAGTAAATAGAAAATCAATACAGTACACTAACACCCCCTACCACTGAGAATATGGACTATCTCTGCTTCTATAGTATATATCCCCACAAGCCCAATCTTCGCTCAGCATGGGATGCCTGCAGGGAGGTTTCCCTCACCCTATGACAAGCCTGGGTTCACACAGGAGCAGTGGGGAAACTACATGCAATTTGGGCAGGAATTGCATTCCTGTTCAAATTGCATGTAATCTTTGCAGTGCAATTTGTCTTGACGCAAATCACAACGCAAAGTATCGGTTTCCGGTATTGGGAGCATTTTCACGAGTACAAGTAAAAATATGCAGTATTGGCCAGAGGCGGACTGACCATTTGGAGACGCGGGCGCTGCCCGAGGGCCCGGGGTCAGTAGGGGGCCCCATGAGATGCCCCTGGTACCTTTTTCATAGGCTTTTTGGAGTTTGGGCAAGGACACAGAGGCCCAATGATCCCCTATTGCCCGGGGGCCCCATGAGTTGTCAGTCCGCCCCTGATATTGGCACCGATACCAGTATCGGTGCATCCCTAATTTTGACACTTGAAAAATCTTAGGACAATTCTCTTTTCTGAGTTCTTCTGAGTTGTTTACACGCGTTAACTCGTGTTCTGGATAAGAAAATGCATCAGGTTGTACTTTTGCAGAAAGCACTGGAACTGACCACACCAATGTGAACTAGAACCATTGGAATAAATAGCAATGCATGCAACACATGCATTCTGGATACATTTTAAAAATGCACTGGAAAGCATCTGGTGTGAACCAGCCCTTAAAAAAAATGCACAAATCTGAAGAGACTGTTGAGTGTGTTGTATTATATCATGAGTGCCAGTATAATAGGTAAGTCACTGTTAACCTGTATGATAACTCAAAGAGACTTACTCATAGGGACAGTGCGAGGTGTGATTCGGATGCAAGGTGCGTCACCTTCAGGTGTGTATAGAAATTACAAAACAATTCAGTGGCTCCTCTAGGCGTAGAGCTATATGTGTAATTGGAGTGGATAAATGTTATTACCAGACAGGAATCTGTGTCTTGGATGGGTGTGTGTAGACAGTAGATAAGGTGACTGTATCAGTATGTGATTCTGGCTGACAGGATAGCAAGTAAAATGTACACAAAATTTGCAGCTGTAAGTAGATTTTGAGTCTCTTTCTGTCGGTGTTTAGTGGTAAGAGACTGTGAATTGGTATTATTCATACATATTCTAGAAGTAATATTGCCTGGTTTAGCTAACTTATAACTACTAGTAAGAACAGTGTATGTAGTCTGTGAAGCCTGTATGCAAGTCTTCTTGACAGCAGAGTGTTAGAAGTAAGGTTTCCCACAAGTCTGTTATTTTTTTTATGGTGGCAGCATAGATATTATTGTGTGCATGTTGTGTTGTTTTTCAGCCTCTACCAGCCTCTAGCTTGAGGTTACCTTGGGGTCCAGGGGTGGACTGACCATTTGGAAACTCGGGCACTGTCCGAGGGCCTGGGGTCAGTAGGGGGCCCCAAGAGATGCCCCTGGTACCTTTTTCATAGGCTTTTTTAAATTTGGGCAAGGACACAGGGGCCCCATGATTGCCTATTGCCCGGGAGGCCCCATGAGTTGTCCGTCCGCCCTGTTGGGGTCCTTTTGATAATTAGCTGGCATGCTGGTCAGTATGCACACATTACATTAAAAGTATCTAAAACCATGCAAGTCTAATCAATTACATAAAATACATGCAATAACGTGAAGTTAGTGCATATATCCATTGGTGATAGCATGATGTAGTCATCTCAACATGTTTCACCTTTAATCTGGTTTCATCAGGAGATTTTGTATTATAACATACAAGCACTAGTAATCTTACATAATGTAAATTAAAGATGTGCAAAAATCCCAGGGGACAGATCTCATAAACATTCACCATATACAAGCCCAGGGCAGTATCTGGTAAGCCACAGGAGAAGTACCAGGAAAAGTAATACCATGGAAAACTCTTTTTTAAGATAAGATTGTATATGAGACCCTGAAGGAACGCTGTCACAGAATCCAAAACAGGAGCTAGGGCATTTGGTCCATTTTCAAACGGCGTCCCAGGATTGGAATGTGTTAGCAGCATCCATGTTCTCCGGCCAAATACATGACCTTACCCTGTTCTATGTTGTCAGAAATTACAGAAATTCCTCTGAAGCTCATTGAATCAGTGATGAACCACATTTAAAATACCCTACATTAGGAATAAATTATACTGAATGAAAAGGCTCCAATATTTTAAAGATAGCAATGATAATTAACTTTAAAATAAAAGACATGCAAAATAATAGGCTGAATGTATTATCAATACTGAAAATGTTTAACTTACACGTTTAATAAAATATGTGCACCAGGGAGTCACAAAGGGGTGTTTGATGCTGTAACAAAGCTACATCAAAGGCCATGCACACTTTATTTTCTTAGGGGATGCTACTGTGTATGGGGAGAAAATATTGTCATTCCAATCACTGTACACGTGTATTTGATTCTGGGAATAGTGATGTAGGAGTAAACCGTGCATTGTGTATCAATAAATATGTTATTTCAGGCTTCATAGATCAGATATTGCAACACAGTTTGTATGTGTTCTCCCCATTATCAAACTTTGCTTTCTTGCATGCCCTCCACTTCTGTTTTCAACCATCCTATTTACTGCAGTAAGTTAGGTGGGACTCAGGGCAGTAGATGAGCACTGCAGGAGAATGCTGGACATTGGCCCTGGGTATTTCCTGTGAAGCTGGCAGGTAACTGCTAGTTAGGGTGGGGCCTTTGAACACTTCTAAGCTGGGGCAAGGAACATAGGTGACTGAATCATATTCAGTAACTAATGTCAATCTACTTGTTGCACTAAAAATGGGCACAATATGCAATTCATATACAATTTATAAATAAATTCATTAATTCATGTATAAATTCATAACAGAATAAATAAATACAGATTAAAAAGTGTCCATGAAGCAGAGGCGGACTGACAACTCATAGGGCCCCCGGGCAATAGGGGATCATGGGGCCCCTGTGTCCTTGCCCAAACTCAAAAAAGCCTATGAAAAAGGTACCAGGGGCATCTCATGGGGCCCCCTACTGTCCCAGGGCCCTTGGGCAGTGCCCGAGTTTCCAAATGGTCAGTCCGCACCTGCCACGAAGTGCAAGTGCTAAATAATTTAGAATGGTCCCAGCATAGTGCAAAAAAGATAAATATTCTTCCTCAAAAGGCTGCCAGTTGGTTCCAACATCACCAAAAATAGTGGAAAAATACTGAATAACCATGACCCTTTTATTACAGAGTAGTCCTAGAGAGCTTAGTCAGTATACTCGAGCATTAATGGCATCTCTGCATATACAGTAAGTCACAGGACTATCACCAAACACCACCCTTGAAGCAGCCATGTTTGGACTCACTTCGGAATGACTGATCAATTACAATGCCCGATGGAACGTATCCATTAAATATATACATTTTTATGACCATGTTTTCTAGCCACGAGTCCTTTCTTTCCACGAAACTGCCAGGGACCTAATACCCTCTGTGCTTACTCCCCTCCCGGGAAGGGCTGGACATGGGGGGGAGACTCACATTAAGGAGGCTCACCAAAGGAGTTTAACGGTTCATTCTACCACCCACCCCTCCATTTTCCCTTTATTATCCCTCTGTTTTCTTCCACCACCCCGCTCCCCCCCTTTTTTTTTTTCTTCATCCTCCTCCCCTCTAACCTTTATGCCCCCCTTCCCTCCCCCATATTATTTTATGATATTTCCTCTTTACCCAAGTAATCAGCTCCCTTCTTCCCAATTGAGATTAAGTCAGCTAAGACCCTATTTAGCCCCGGTTACATATTCCTGACCATACAAGTTACTCCTTCTTACTGATTAATAACCACTTTATATAGATGCCCTTTGAACTATACTACAATGAGAATTCAGAGATCTTACTATTTCTATTACTGTACATCTACCCCTTTTACAAACCCCGTCTCTGTCACCCAACACATAATTCTTCCTGAAGACCCTTAATAGTTCACCACCTTGAACCACATGCTGTAATTACATCTTCCTGATTGTCAGTTGTTCCCTTGTTGACTTATGGTTATTTTGAAAGTGTTGTAAGATGTATACTGCACATTTACTGTTCTTTTTGCTCTTTTTCAATAAACCTTTATTGGAAAAAAAATGAATCCTTGTTAGGGCTGTAATCATATAATGCAGATAAAATCTAGTACCTATATGTGAAATAAATGGGATATACATAATGAGAATGTATGCACAGCAGAACATGGTTAGCTGAAGCCTACTTACACTCATATACCAGCGACCGGTCTTGGCATAATATTGTTATGTTTTTCTTTAGCGCAATTCAAGACAATGGTTCAAAAAGTTTAATTACTTAGAATGCCCATAATTACATGGTCATATTAATTAATACAAAGATCTGGTTGCACAGAGAGATGAAAAAAGTTTTTAGAAGCGACTTTTAAGTCTTGTGATATATATAGGGAAAGTAATTAATCATTTTGATCCTCGTCATACCATACGGGTTCTGTAACTTACTACATGGCTTTTTTGTGCTTTTTTTCCTTTTATTTTTCCCACTTTCTGGCCACCCACCATACATTTACTTATCGGGTGGCACAACCAGGCACCGCCATATACTCATACATCGCAGCAAACATTCCTGTATCAAACATACCATCAGTATTATCACTGACCACCGAATTAGTGTCGCTACCAATGTCAATTTTATTTAGTCAGTTAGGGGTTTATTTACTAAAGCTGGAGAGTCCAAAATCAGACTCCCTTCTGCATAGAAACCAATCAGCTTCCAGGTTTCATTGCCAAAGCTTCATTGAACAAGCTGAGGTTAGAAGCTGATTGGTTTCTATGCAGAAGGGAGTCTGATTTTGGACTCTCCAGCTTTAGTAAATAAACCCCTTAGTGTCCCTCCCAGCCAGTGCTAGTGTCAGATTCTCCCCAACACTGTCAAACTATAAGTTGCTAATCACTGCCATTAGAAGTATAGCGTCTACAACTAAGTAAATTCCAGTATATATAACAAAGTATGCAGATGCTATAACTTTGACACAAACCAATTAATATACACTTATTGGGATTTCTTTTTACCAAACACATGTAGAATGGCCATTTTGACCTAAATTTATGAAGAAATTCTATTTTATTGGATAAGTTTTATAACAGAAAGTAGAAAATATATATATATTTTTTCCATTTATATAATAAAAAATAAAAAAGCCAGTGCTGATCAAATACCACCAAAAGAAAGTTTAATTTCATTTGGGTACAGTGTTGCATGACCAAGCAATTGCCAATAAAAGTAGCACAGTGCTGAACAACAAAACATGCCCTGGTCATGAAGGGGATTAAACGTTCCAGAGGTCAATTGTCTGTTTATAACTTTCAATTACAAACGTTTTCGTAACTTTTGTAATTGCATGAAAATGTTAAAGCTTAAAAGAGATTTAGCGATTGGGTTTACATTCACTTTAAGTAGTAGATTGTTGGATAGCTGTGGCACCTCTGTATATTATCTGCTTATTTGTTTCCTTTTTGCACAGATACCTTCAATATGAAGGTTCAAGTGGCCATATAACTGTTTTACAGAACCTTAAAATCCATGATATAAGTAGATCTTTTTGGTTCATTTTACATCCTACTAACTGCAAGCTCGGCCTTAATGCATGCTTTTCAAGGTGTTACTGTGAAAATTAGAACAAAAGTCTTTTCAAGGAGATTTTGCCGTGATGTATCATGCTTTTTTTTCAAGGCAAATTGTTCACATAAAATCACTGAATAAAGACCAAACAAGAGCAATGTCAGCATATGTAGCTTCTAATTAGAAAGACTAAAACAGCCTAAGTATGTGTTTTGCAAGATAATTGGTAATAATTACAACAAGAATGCTTGCTTAATAGTTGACAGCCAAGTCACTTCATTTTTTTTTTTCGATTCCTATCTGTGTGTGAGCCCCTGTGTATAGAACAGCGATCTATATTTTTCTTGCATGTCCTCTTGTTGCTTGGTTATCTTTAATCTTTGATTCATGCAGTCACTCTGACATACAGGATCCCTGTTGAATAGGAGGTTGTATATGGAATAAATGTTTTACATTCACTGCCAGTTCATATTTTAGTGATTTCTTTCAATCAGTAATAATTGAAGTAGAACAAGAAATGGGAGTAATCATTCAATGTCATGCAAGTATGCAAATTTAAAGAACCCATCATCAGCAGCAGAAGACGGGGTTGGCTCTAAGAACTGTTCAAATCTCTCAATACAACAAACTTATACTTTAACCTGCTTTCCTGTATTGGATTATGCTCTTCGACTTAGGCCAAGAACAAGAATGGCATTTGCTGTTTGATTCCATGTCAGCAGTTCTAGTTAATTATTTCTACTAGTGATGGGCCGAACTCCCCTGTGTTCGGTTTGCGATCGAACATTTGAACTTAATGAATGTTCGACCACAAACTTCAAAGTTAATGCAAGTCTATGGGACTCAAATTTGTAAATTCAAAAGTGCCCATTTTGAAGGCTTATATTCAAGTTATTGGCCATAAAAGAGGTATGGGGACTGCCCTGAGGCAATTCAAAAAGTACAGTTTTTAAATGGGCAATCATTTTTCATTGCTTAAAGTAAAAAAAAATATTGTGCCTGGGGGGTCTCCTTAAACTACCTGCAAACCTGTGTGGGGTTTCCTTTAGGCCTGGTAGGACTTTTAAGGGGAGCCCCACCTCAAGAAAATGGGGGGAAAAGCATGGGGTCCCCTCTAAATTCCTACTAGACCCTTGATCCAAGCACAGGCCTGGCAGGATAGGTAAAGGGGGGGGGGGGGCGAATGAGTGCCTCCCCCCTGCGGCTTTCCAGACCACATGCCCTCGGTAATGGGACAGGGTTAAATTTAATTTTAAAAAAGAGACAAGTCTTTTGAAAAATTTATGTTACAAAAAAAAGAAACAAAACAAAATTTTCTGACAAGTCCTTTATAAAAAAAAAAAAGTCAAAAAATGGTTCCATCATTGTAATCCATTGTCAATCACGGCGTCCAGCATTGCAATGACAACGCCAACTCACCAACAAAAAAAAAACAACACCTATTGACCTGTCTGCACCCATGGAGCACTAGCTTCAGTCTGACATTTGCCAGTCAGATGTAAATAATGCACTTCCTGTCCCTTTGTGGCTAAACTCACTTCTTTATTGTGTCTATGGAGGGAGCTTTGGTTGTCACACAGGCTGCACTTCAAACATATCTGCTTTTGTTCAACTCTGTTACATGGTTGATTGATAGGATTAGTAGTTTAGGAAAAAAAAACAAACATTATATTTAAGTCTTTGCTGCCTATTCAGCTTGCAGGAAATGACAAGGATGCCAAATTTTTGGAAAGATGAATAGGTATTTTGTGCACTTGCTGAAAATGTTGCTGAATATTTCATGCCTGAAAGATGAAAACTAATGCAGCCACCGCATCTAAGATTTGTTAAGTTGCAATACAGTACATTTTTTTTTTGAGGTTTATATACTGTATGCTTTAAATCAAACATGTATGTAGAGCAGATTCCTTCCTAGCTCTCAGATAAAGTGCAGATGCAGAAAAGTTTATTTAATTTACGTAACATTTAAACTAGCTTGGGGCTGCAATGAAAACTCTGAAATAATAAGAAAATAAAAAAGAAAATGTAAGAGAGACTATACTTCCAAAGCTGCTTCTTAAATTGATTTATTAAAAGAAATAATGTGTTGGCTAAATTACAGTTTTAAAGTTTCTAGATGAGGCTTTTAGGTTAGTTAATCTTGCTATTACATAATAAACTGTGCTGACCCCAAGAGGTGCACGTGGTGAGGAAGCCCATCTTGCAGATGGATGCCAACAGTTTCACAATATTAACAAACTACTAAAGGGATAATAGCCCTGGGTGGGAAAAATATTAAATCAAGCCAACCTGTGAAAAGAAGTTTTATACTTGCCCTTTTGGGGTTTAGGTGTAGGTTTGTCAACTTTATACCATGCACGCGAGGGGCACATGCATCAGAGCTTTCCACCTAGTAAATAGAGCTTTGGGTTTCTAATTTCCTTCTCCACCCAGCTCACCCCTTAGTCATGTGCACAGATGCAGGCCATAGGCCACAGTCTCTTCCTCTTCCCCTT